GCATCATGACTTTCCTCCTGGTCTCTTCACTATGCACCAGGGAGTATGCTTGAGAGAGGGTCACACTATCTCTGGTCAGTATCTGTTGCCGCACAATGTCATATTCTGAATTCARGCCAGCCAGAAACTCAAACACCCTATTTGTCTCGACTTGCTTTCTGTGAGTCTGTGCATCTTTGGGACTCTCCCACTCAAGAGTCTCTAGATGATCAATCTCATGCCACAAGGATTTCAAGGTAGAGAAGTAGACAGAAACTGGCTTTTCTCCTTATTTAAGACTGTTCCCCTCACACTTTAGTTCATGGGCTCTGGCAACATTAAGGGGTTGGGAATAGGTTTCTTTCACAACATCCCATATCTCTTTGGYTGTCTTTGCCCACAAGTAATTTCGGCTRATATGYGGCTRCATAGAATTACACAGCCATGCCATAACCAAATAGTTCTCTTGAACCCACTTGGTGTACGTTGGGTCCTCCTTGGAAGGTTCTTTCACATCTCCCAAGAGGTAACCTAGTTTTCCCCTTCCTCCAATAGTCATCATGGCTGATTGAGCCCATTCCAAGTAATTTGACCCATCAAATATCACAGTTGTAATATGAAACCCGGTTTCAGATACACTACCATAATTGTTGCTCCCAAAACTACTTTCTCCCTGATTTTTAAACTCCATCTTTGGTCAAGAATCAGTAGCTACAAACTGTTAGAGCCACTACACCAGAAAATAGCACTTGGACARTCGRTCMCAACCAGAAAACAGTATGAAATCAATGCAGGTCTGATTTGAAACCACTTTGTAATCACGGTATATGCATGAACTAGTGCAGGCCTGATCTGAATCCAATCGGCAATCACAGTATATGCATGAAACCAATACAAATCTGATCTGAAATCAATCGGCAATCACAGTACCAAACAATCTGTCAAGTTTTTTTATCCCCTAGAAGAGCTCGAAGCCAAAACCAGCTTAGAGAGCAATCTGAGATGTTGGAGCAGAATTAGGGTTTCAATCGTAGGTCTGAAATAAGTGCTCAGCTGCACTTTCCAAGCAATCCGTACAGTTAGGACCTGTCGTAGGGTCAATATGAAACCCTAAAACTGATCACCTCTGAGAGAAGATAAAGAGGGTTTGGCCCAATAGTCAAACCCTAGATTAGAGAGAAAAACCTTAAAGCAGTTCGGCCTCTCCTTCTAGATAGGTCCAACCTATCTCGACTGATAGCAGTCTCTGGAAACTAAATAAAACTTACTCAAAGAATGCTGTTCACTGCCTTCCAGGGTTACCTGAACCCTAGCCTTCGCTGCTTCTTCCTGATTACCAACTCTCTGCAAGCCGCGGCAAGTCCTCAACAGCTGTGGACTAGACACACATGAGAAGCCCTAGATAGGCTCTGATACCAAGTAGAAGATCAAGACGGCAATCAGTCTTGAACCCTAATAGATTTTAGGTTAAGAAAAGCAGAAGAAAAGTGAGAGGAAGGAGAAGGAAGAGAAGAGAAACAGGAGAACACAAGGGTTTGAAAGGAGGGACAGATTCTAACACATCTGCCGCCGCCACTCTCTTAGTATTTATAGGTTATGTTCAGTACATAGAGAAAAGGACAGATTTGCCCTTAGTACTTACATGACAAATAAAGTAAATAAAAACTGAAATAAATAACAACTGAAATAACAAACTGACCCCAACTGACACTACTATGACTGAAACAAATAATTACACATGCTGTCCTACGAACACAGTGGGGACCACTGCTGTGGGGCCCACATCAGTGTTCTCTACATAAATGTTACTTAGTAACAAAGGCAACGTTTTAGACCCATTTTTTGTAAGCATACCATGCTTAGAATTCAAAAATAAGAACTATTTTAATAGTTATACTTTCTACAAACATGTTATGAGTCCATGTTTTCTTGTCTTTCCAAGTCAGACTCTTTGACGTGCATCAGATTCCAACTTTTGTTTATGCAACACTGCAGGCAAGTGATGAGCCATCTCTACTTAGTTTTCTCCATTTTGACTTCCAATATATTATAGGTAAATAATTCTGTTAAACCAACCAAGGATCCAAATATCTTGGCATTTGGGCTAGACAAATCATTGAGATTGCTTGTCTTGGCATCTAGGAGAGCGTCTAAGATGGATTAAGGGGGTCAATACAATGCATAAATCCCATGTCATTTGCACCCGTTGCTTGAAAACATTTTTTACCTCATTATTGAAAACCATTGGCAAGAAGTCATATCCTTCATTAAGGGGCTCTGATGTTGTATATGCCAGGCCAAACATATCCAGTTTTTAGTTTCTTTCTTTCAACTTTATTAGACAATTTGTGCAAATGACATGGGGTTTATGCCCTACATTTTGCATATAACAACCTAGTGAAGGTTAGAAAGATCTCAATGTTTCTGCCTCCCAGCCTCTACCTCTGGCACTTTTAAGGTCAATAGCTTGCTGGCATGTGGCAATGTTGGTTTCATAAAAAGATGGTTTATCATGTGCATGATGTGAGTTGAAGTAGCCAGAAAGACTAGAATTTATAATTTGATCAAAGATATGTCCCCGGATGAGTGCACCCAGGAATAGGTTCCTTGTAGCTACCCTATATAGATCTTGAGGAAGCTTAGTTAAGGAAACTAATCAGATCGTATTCGTGTATAAAACCTCATGATTCATTTAATCAGACAGTTGACCACATTGGTTACACTTCAGTAAATTAATAGGGGTATTTTTTTAATTTTAGTTGCTTAAATTCTGTGCATTTTCTTCAGTAAATCAATAGGTCAGAGCTCCCTATTAAATTTTGTTTCTTCACTACCAAAAAGAAAAAAAAAACAGCTCTTCATTTGAATGGTAAAAGCCTTTTCATGTATATTTTTACACTTCTTCTCATTAACCATGTAAAATCACTGTACAGTCTCTTGTTCCACTTTTTTTGTTTGAATTTTAATGTTTATTTGCTAACAATAATTCAATATGACAGGCCATTCTTGGTGAAATGGTAAAACTTCAGGTGACAAGTATGAGAATGCGGATTCAAGTTTGAGATTGGCCACTTTGTGCCAAGAAAAAAATGCCAAGGTTAGCTCTTTATCCACTTCACCCCTCCCTGAGGGCTGGGGCCAAACATTGGGCAATGGCCTTTTCAACAATTCAGTGGGACAGCATAGCAGATCATTTGTAAATTCCCATTGTATAGATCCTTTGTGTGCATGGTTTTTCTTCCCAGATGTCTTTATGCTACACAATATTTTACCTATTCCAAAAAAAAAAAAAAATCATTTGTATGTGGGGCTTTATGACCCCCTAACTTTTCATTACTTGTAGAAGGTGAAGACTAATTTGTGTGACAAAGAAGCATGCTTCTTACTTTAACTTTTATAATCAATGTGTAAATTACATGTATAACCCTGATTTATAACCATGAGTAAAAGAATTATATTGCCCTTGCACCATATAACGGAGGAGAAAAATGTCATAGAACCCCTACTGTTCTTTCCCATTAGATAAATCAGTTTTCAATGCAGAATGACATGTTCAAATAGCATGTTACACACCTCACGTGCATATATTGCATGAAAGTGAAGTTCTAACAGTAGGTCAATGCACATATTTGTATGTTTAAAACAAGCCATACATATTCAAGTTATATCTATGAAGGGCAATTTGAAGTTAGTAAGCATGGGAAGGAGCAATACAAGGATGCTAACATTAATGTATTTAAAATCAGGCCAAGCATCAAAATGGAAAGGCCTCGTTTCCCAGTCTTCACAGTTCAACTGTGGTAACCTGAAAAAATTCAGTTTTTCATGGTTTTCAATGACTTGGAAATACAACCAGTTTCAGTAGAAACCAGTTCAACCAGATGGTTGGATCCAACTCTCAAAACATTAGCCAACATAAGTAACAGCACCTGCAAGATACTATATTACCTGAAAGCCTTTGTACTTGATGAGCTCTTTTATTCGGTCAACAACAAATAATCGTCCTTCATCATCAAAATACCCAAGATCTCCTGTATGTACCCAACCTTGTTTATCTATAGTGGACTTGGTAGCCTGTGGATTGTTAAAATAACCTGTAGACATTTTTAAGATTGGTAAAACTAAGTAGCATTTAGGTTTAGACACAACACATGGTGGAAAGAGTTAAGCAACAACAAAAGGTAAATGACAATGATTAAAATCATAGGATGCATGTTATTCTAATTTAACAGACTTCAAGAGATTAGGGTGTAGTTAAAGCATCAACTAGGCAATCACCTAGGTGTTTTGAAGGGAAATGACCTAAATTACCAGCTAGGCAGGCAGTATGTATATATTCATCTTACTATGCGTAAATGACAATTATGCCCCATTATTTATTGAATTTAGTCTGCAATCCACTTTTGATTAATACAGATGTATACAGAGCTGGAACTCCATATTACTTAAAAATATTGTCATAATTTCTGAAACCAAGTGTAAGTTGTTATTTCATCATTTATGATTTAATTTGTGGTGTAATAGTTTATTATTAACATGAAACTCCATATTACTTATGTATATATGCATACATTATAAAATGTGTATGCATCTAGTTATTTTTGTTGCCAAGGAGATGCCTAGTTTCCACCTATTGACTCACCTTGCCAAGCAAAAACGCCTAGCCATTGCCTATCCACTTTCATTACAAGGCAAGAATCAAAAACATAATTTTTTAGTGTTTTCATCAAAGTGATGTCATTGATGAGTTATGAGATGCCATACTTGGGAGAATATAAGCTAGAAATTTGAATAAGCAGGTTTTAAGAGCATAGATAGAGAAGAACATGAGGATTTAAATTAAAAAAAAAAAAAATCTGGTTGTGGTTCATTGTTCAAGCTGATATTTTACTCTTTATAGGATTCAAGATACAATATCCACATCATGAGAAACACAATAAAAACTAGCAGAGAAAAGATAACATATATCCAGAAGTGCAAAATATATAGCTTAAGATTAAAAACTGAAAAAGAGACTAAAGCTACACCTTGCATCATATTGGGTCCTCGAACCCATATTTCCCCTAATTGATTAGGAGGAAGAAGCTTCAATGTGTCTACACTAACTATTTGTGCTTCAATCCCCGGAACAAGGGTTCCAGTTGAACCAGTATGGCGAGCTCCACCCCTTGGATTATCTAGTGAGACTATTCCACAAGTCTCTGTCAAACCATAGCCCTGCCAAGGATGCAAGGAGTACAATTATCCAAATCAGGATTTAAGCTATTTCCAGAAACCAGACTTCGCTAGCAAACATCTTTGCAGAAACCATACAAGGCAACTTATATAGGAACCAAAGGAAACCCATCAAAATCCAACACTTTGATTCCCACAACAGTAATTGAATTATCCATTTCTAATATATGATTTGATTTTTACCAGAATATGATACTAAAATTCAACTTCTTTAAGAAGAAAAAAAATAGCAACAATCAGCCCTATAAAGAACTAGGATTTTCTTTTCTGTTTTTCTAGGAAAGGATCATTAAAAAAGATATTGAAAACTCAAGTTCCTCCATTAACAGAGAAGGTAGAAATGCTGGAATGCTTCATTATTTATGCTTATGAATTTCTTTCTTCCTTCTTGTATTATGCTAATTTACCAATAGACTAAATTGTCAATCAAAACTAAGATGTATACTTGTTATACTTCTCAAGCAACAAAAGAAGACAAGTCAAAATTGGAAATAACTTGCTTGGCTTTACTTAAGGTTTGGACAGACCTCGTGTTCTTGTTGTATTACTGTAACACTTGTAAATCATAATAGTGTTTTATTCTTTCTGTGGTAAGGTAATGGCCAAACTGTGAGATATTGTTCATGCATTTTTATGGATCAGGTACACCACCCACATTCAAATTTGATCTGTTAATACACGGATTCAAATCAAACCTTGTCCAATGGATTTAGATCAAGATTGGATGTGGATAATATACACCATTAATAAACTGAACTAAAAAAAAATCAAAATAATATGCATTAAAAGTTAACTAGAAATAACCTTGGCATTGCAGATCATGAATAAAATGACTTGGGGACCATTTAATAACAACTGAAATGTCTGAACTGAAAAGCTTATTGCTTTGTCTTTTAGTGGATAAGTTTTCAAAGGGGTTCTAGGTTCCTTAATGTCTGAAACTGAAGTTGGATAAATTACTATACTTTCGAATATTTGGGATCCTTCTGAGTCTTTGGTATCCCTCTTTTTGTAGCCTAATTTCTAGTAGAATTGGAAATTTCTCAATTCTTTAGTTCTGAAGCTTCGTGATGGCAATGTTATCCAAGTCACAAATGTTTATGGGCCAACAGTTTCAAATCTCAGGGCGGTTTCTGGGAGGAATTATCAGATATGAGAGGCTCTCTGACCCATCCTTGAGTCATTGGTGGTGATTTTAATGTAACTCTATCGGTGGAAGAGAAAAATACAAGGGGTGGAAGAACAGGGTCGATGAGGTTGTTTGCTGATTTTATTAATAATATGGAACTTATGGATATCCCTATTCAGGGCAACAGATTCGCCTGGACCAATAATCAAGAAAATCCCACCCTTGTGAGGCTGGATAGGTTTTTGGTATCTTCGAATTCGGATGTTATCTTCCCTGATTTTAGGCAGGTTACCCTCCCTAGACCTGTTTCTAATCACTGTCCTGTTCAACTAATCAGTGGTCATCGTGAGAGAATTAGAACTCCTTTTAAATTTGAAAATGCCTGGTTTGAGGAGGACAAACTTATTCCTTTGATAAAATCTGTGTGGAATGATCTTCAGGTGGAGGGTTCAAGCTCTTTTATCTTGGCAAAAAAACTGGGAGCTATCAAAGGAAAATTAAAATTTTGGAATTTGGAGAATAGATTAAATTCGGGTACTGAAAAGAAAGCTTTACTAAGTACCATTGAAGAGATTGACAGAGCTTAAGAGGTGGGTCACTTATCTGAAGAGTTGAGGCTGAAAATATCCCAAGCAAAAAGCAATTTTGATGAGTTGGCTGTAAAACCACTTGGTTAAAGGAGGGTGACAAAAACACGCACTTCTTTCACAAAATGGCAAACGCCCGAGTTAGAGCTTCCTCAATCAACAAGCTGGTGTGGGAAGATAGGAGTGGGAATCATGTAAAGAGATTAAGTCAGTAGCAACCACCTTTTATAAAAATCTCTATAGGGAAAATTGGACCTACTGACCTTCCCTTCAAGCAGCTGAATGAAGATAGAAACTTTGGCTTGAGAGACCCTTCACAGAGGAGGAAATTAGAGCAGCAATTAAGAAGTTAGAAGGAGATAAATCGCCTGGGTCGGATGGTCTTACAAACCTTTCCTACCTGAAATGCTGAGATTTTGTGAAAAAAGACTTGTTGAATGTGTTCCAGGCTTTTCATTCAAATGCCTCTCTGCAAATAAGCTTGAATGCCACATTATTACTCTCATTCCAAAGATTGAAAGGGCTGTGAACATTAAGGATTTCAGGCCAATCAGCCTCCTACACAGTTTCTATAAAATCCTGGCTAAAGTTCTGGCAGAAAGAATGAAAGGGGTGTTAGGTAGTGTAATTTCTAATAACCAAAGTGCATTTGTTCCAAGGAGGCAGATGGTAGACTCAATTCTCATTGTTGATAAGTTGATAGATTCCAGAAGAAGAGAGGGAACCCCAGGTGTGATTTGTAAACTTGATATTGAGCAAAGCACATGACTATGTCAACTGGAATTGCTTGGGTCTTGTGTTGGAAAGAATGAATTTTGGGCAGCAATGGAGAAATTGGATCGGAGTTTGTATTAAGACTCCTAAATTTTCAATCCTAATTAATGGCCAATCTACGGGGTTTTTTGGCAGCTCTAGAGGCTTGAGCCAGGGAGATCCTCTTTCCCCTTTGTTGTTCATCTTTGTCATGGAAATTCTCGCTCTTTTTAGCAAGAAAGCTACAAATTCTGGTTATTGGGATGGATTTGCAATTTCCCCTGGAAAGGAAAAAGTCGATATCCTTCAATTTGCAGATGATACCCTATGTTTTGTTGATGCATCTCTGATTCAGTTGGAATCGGTGCTTAGGATTCTGAGCTGGTTTGAAGTGGTGTCTGGTCTCAAAGCTCACCTGAGTAAAAGTCAGATCATCCCAGTGGGCCATGTCTCAAATTTAGAAGAATGTGCAGAAGTGATGACTTGTCAAATTGATCTTCTCCCGGTAAAGTATTTGGGCTTGCCTCTCGGGGATAAATACTCTTCCTCCTCGACCTGGGTTTCAATTATTGAGAGAATGGAGAAAAAATTGGCTTCTTGGAAGGCAAAATATCTGTCATTTGGGGGTAGAGTAACATTGATTAAGAGTACACTTTTAACCTCTCTACTTATTTCCTCTCTCTTTTCCCCATCCCAAGCAAAATAGCAAATAGGCTGGAGCAAATCCAAAGGAACTTCTTATGGAGGGGATGTGAAGATTAAAAGAAGATTCACATTGTAAAGTGGGAGCAAGTGTGTCTCCCTATGGAAGTTGATGGGCTGGGAATAAGAAATCTAAAGAAATTTAATTATGCCCTTCTCAATAAATGGCTATGGAGATTTGCTACTGATAGGAATGCATGGTGGAGAAACCTTATTGTGGGAAAGTATGGGGTGGAGTGGGGTGATTGGAGATCTAAGAATCCTCATCCAAGTGGGGGCAGATCTCTCTAGGCAGGCATATTGAGGAATCCTCCTATCCACTTGGATGGGATCAGATTTTAAGGTGGGTAAAGGGGATAGAGTTAAGTTTTGGAAGGATCCCTGGTGTTTAAAGGGCTCCTTGGCAGATGCTTTCCCCCTCATTTTCCAAATCTCTGTGAATCAAGATTCTTCAGTAGCTAAGAATTTTAATGTTTCTGGTGGTTCCATTATTTGGACTCCTCCTTGTAGGAGAAGTTTGTTTGATTGGGAGGTGGAAGAGTATGTAGCGCTGTTGGGGCTGCTTCAAAGTCAAATGATAGATTTGAGTCTGGAGGATGAATGGAGATGGAAATAGAATGCAGACGGTTGCTTCTCTGTTAAATCCCTGGTTCTTAAGCTGTACAGGTCAGGTCAGGTGGATTTCCCTGCCAGTCAGATTTGGAATCCAACTAACCCCTCCAAGATTAATTTTCTGATTTGGACAATGGCTCTTGATAAATGTCTGACTAAAGTTAATCTGGAGAGACGTGGCATTCAGATTCTGGATCTTTCTTGTGGTTTGTGTGGATCTCTTGCAGAAACTACAGAGCATTTGTGTATCCACAGCCCAGTTTCTTCTATGATCTGGGGGCATTTCCTAAAGGCTTTGGAGATTAGTTGGGTTATGCCAAGACCAGTGAAGGAGCTGCAGAACTGTTGGAGAATTGAGGGCCTCAGCAAGAAAGGAAAGCTTGTTTAGAGTACCATTCCAGCAGCTGTGTTATGGTCCATTTGGACTGAAAGAAACAACAGAATTTTTTGTGATAAATTTAAAAGCTCGGATGAAGTAGTGCAGAGAGCTGTGGGCAAGTTAATCTCTTGGGTGTTGGTGACTGAGGAGTTCAAACATCAGAATATGTCTCGTTTGTTTTGTTCTCAGTCATGGATGAGTTTGTAATTTGATTTGTGCCCAGGTATTCTTAGTGGTCTGGGTTTTGATGTACTAATCTTTTTATGTGATGAATAATTTACTTTACCTTTTTCCAATATATATATATATATATATATATATATATATGCTTTTGGATATTTCATTATCTAATCATTTTATCTACTAAAAGACAAAGCAATAAGTCTTTCAATTCAGCAACTTAAGCTGTTATAAAAAAATAACAGCAGATATACTTTCTACGAGACTTGAACTTATGACTTCTTAGTAGACATACAACATTCAAGTAAAGACATGAGAAAATCGAAGCAATCATTAAAAAGGGTTACCTCTGTAACACTAATATTTTTGTAGATCTGCTATTATATTTCACCACTTCTTACAGAGAAAGGGGAAAATGTTTCTAGCTGAAGTACCTGAACGACCACAGCCTGAGGAAAATTCTTTGCACATTCCTCCATTATCTCCTTCCCCAGAGGCGCAGCACCCGAACCAAGCTTCCTCAAAGAAGACACGTTGTATTTCTTGACCACACTCTGCTTCGCAAGAGCAATCATGACTGGTGGCACAACAAACAAATAAGTCACTCTGTACTTGTCAATCGATTTCAGAACCATCTCAATATCGAACTTCCCCATAGTAACAACCATATTGCCCCTCTGCAACTGCGCATACGTAATAATTGAAAGCCCGAATATGTGAAACAAAGGAAGAAAACAGAGGAAAACATTGTGCGTCTCTCTGTCGACGTCCTGGTCGGCAGTTGCCATGATAGCGGCCGAGATGAAATTCCGATGAGTCAGAATCACACCCTTACTCGTACCTGTCGTACCAGATGAATACAGAAGAGCTGCAGTATCGCTCTGTTTAACAGAAGCTACAGGAAAATCGGATACTGACCCTCCCGCCATGTTAACCAGGTCAAAGAAGGAAGTAGTTCTGGCACGGGAGGCTATCGATGAAGCACTCGGAGGCCCCAAAAAGACAGCTGGTAACCCGAAATCCTTCACCTTGTCCCATAATGGAGGAACAGTGATTACGAGCTTCGGGCCAGAGTCGTTCACCTGCTTGGCGATCTCTGCGGTGGTGTAAAGAGGATTCACAGTGGTAGCAATAGCTCCAATAGCAACAACCCCCAAGAAACAAATGGGGAATTGAACCGAATTAGGGGCTAATATGAGAACAACATCGCCTTTCTTTATGCCCAAGCGAACCAAACCATGAGCAACCTTAGCAATCGTGGATTTCAACTGGCTGAAGTTCAAGGCATCGCCGGAATCGGCGTCCACGAGAGCAAGTTTGTCAGAGTAAGAAGAAGAGTTCCTGAATAGAAAAGAGACCATAGAAAGGTTTGGGTCCTTAGGAAAAACCACAGGAGGTCGCAGGGATCGATAGACCCCATCCCTTCCATATCCAGATTTCTCCATTGAAGTTGCAGGAACGAGGTAGTATGGAAATGGTATACTTCAGATCAGATGATATAATACTGACTGCAAGCGAGAAGTGTGATCATTAGCCAACGAAGTCAATACAACAACCCAATTGTGTTGAGTCAAATTCAATTTCACGTGTTGCATCGAGAAACAAAATGAAATTCAGACATGGAATCGCATTTTGTGAGGTAGACCATGACTGTTCTGAAATATGGATAGAGATTTGGGCTTAAAAAAAGTGCATATTTGGAGCCTAAAATAAAGAAACGCCCCATGCTTGGAGCCTAAAATAAAGAAACACCCCATGTTTTAATTTTTACCACTATGAAGAAGAGGTTTATTTGTGTTTTCACTAAGAATTTGTTCAACTGATCAAGATGAAATGTGCTCATATCATTTTTCAAAATAAAAATTTAATTTAGGGGGTGCTCTCCGATGCGAATTGCTTTTTTTTATTATTGTCTATTTTATTTTTATTTTTGTTTATGTTATCTTCCTTTTATTTTTTCTTTGACTTCTTATTTTTATGTTTTTTATTACTTTCTGAGTATTTTCAAAACAAAAAACCATTCCCAAACAGATATACAAGCATTCCTAACAGAAGATGATGCATTAATAAGGCAGTTAAAAAGTATAAGAGGTGTCTTATTAGTTCACAAGCTATATTGTAGGTCTTACTATTTACATGAAATTATAGAAGGTATCTCTGTAAATGACCCTTGAAAATGTAAAACCCCTACCCCAAACCCATTTAAACGGAATAGAAAAAGAACTGTAAATAGATCGGATCTAATCACATATAAGGTATATCAAAATTTGAATTGTTAGTATTCAGATTTGAATTTTGACTTGTAATTGTATAATTAATATTTAATAGCATTAATAAAATAAACTAAAAATGATCAAAATATCATATATTGTTAATAAAATGAACTAAAAATTGACTAGTATTTTATATCATGAATAAAATATATTGAGATGAAATTTTGTAAAAATAGTAAAAACATAACATTCAAACCACTCCACTAATATATAAAATATAAGTATATATATGAATATATACATTTAAATCCAATCCAATTGGATTGACTATGATACCTGAAAAACTTAATTCCAATCAACCGGTGTCATAAAAATGACAATCAAGTGGTATTCATCAAAATTCAGTTTTAGTAGTTATAATACTCTGTGGAAAAGTCTTCTCTACAATCAAAAACCTTAGAGCTTAAGAGAATGACAACCAATGACCCCTCTCTTCCAAGATAAAGTTGATGATTGATGGTTATAGAAAAGAAGGACGATTAGGGATCCTGTAGAGTGACAATTATTTTTCCTTCCAAGGTCTGCTTGTTTGCGATGCAAATTTGAACCAGATACAAATTTTACACCGGATTCAGTTTTATATTTATTTATTTGTAGCTATGGCTCAGTTTATATGTAGAGTACAAAACCTTATATACAGCATTTCTAAACCTTGTATCTGCACTCTTTCCAAACGGAGTCTATGTGATTTATACTCCCACCTAATACAAAATTTGTACTCATTTGCATTTATTGGCAGTGCACATTTTGCATCTCAAAATCCAATGCAAAATGAAGACCACCATCCACCTACCTTGATTCTCTTTATTATAAAGTGAAGACTGCATCATTCTTTTTATGTATCACTCCCAAACAAATAACCCTCTTCCTACCTCCATTATCTTTCATATAAAGGGGGGATTACTTCATTTCACTTCCTAATTTATTCACCACAAACAAATAAAAAAGAAAAGCCAAATGTAAGGCTAAAATAAATCAGAATTTACACACAGCCAATTCATAATCATACGTATTTTACACTTCATCTGCACATTAAGCCTTAAAAATTGAGTAACAATGGTAATTGGTAAATGACAATGAATTAGAAAGAAAGATCAGCAGCTCTTGAAACGGTTGATAATAAAACAGAATCAAACATATTACTAAACACCTCCTTGCCCCCTAAAAGAGCCTATGATTACTCTTTGTGAGAAATCAAAATCATGTGATAATTTTTCAATGGGAAAATTCCCGATAGGTATCATGTACTTTAGGCCAAGTGTCAATTCAGTACTCGAACTTTAAAATGCGACAATCTAATGTCCGAACTTTCATTTTGCGACAATCTAGTACCTAACGTTAACGGACCGTTAGTTATATATATCACGTGACCTCATGTGCGATTTAAAAAATTTGAAATATCAAAATTACCCTTAGTAAATACACTCATTCTTTCTCTCTCTACATGTCGAATTCATCGATTGCAATGAAACCCCACCACTCCATCTCCTCTCTCACATATTCTTGTAAAGTAGTTTCCTTAAGATACGGTGTAAGCCACTTGCTGCAAACCAACCCAACCCACATCCGCCTTTCACTTCATCATGTGTTAGCTGCCCTCGGTTCATCTGATCCACCTGTGGCAAGCCCTCCGGAGCTACTGTCAAGGCCAACTTCGGAGCCATCCTCTTTTCCACCGGAGGTGCCTGTAACTTGTACAGCTCCGGATATCGAAACCGCGCTGCCACCTGAAGTAGGGATCCCCAATCCTCCTACTGCTCCTCCATCTTAGATACCACCAAGGCCTAACCCTAGGCCGGAATTTCCAGGACCCCCAATTCCGTCTCCGAGCATTCCTAACATTCCGATACCAAAGCCGCCGGATGTAGTGCCACCTCAACCGTCGAATCAAATACCGCCTAGGCCTCCGAGTATCGATCCACCACCGTCGATGCCTCCCGATATCATACCACCCACGGGGCCGTTTGCAGTTTTTCTGCAACTAGTTGGTGAATCGTGAGGATTTTTCTTTAATTAAGTTTGATATATATAACGTGCTTATTTACGGTGTGCATAAAAGGGTTATATTTCTCATTGGTGAGCATTATGTTCATTTTTATTCATTCATAGTTTTTCAAAGAAAAAAGTTTCCATCGGAAGAATCGCAGAACAAAGATCAAATCATGGTTCGGACTGTAATAGTGGTGGTGAACTTTTGTTTAGTTCTAACTCTATGAACAATGGTTTTCTTTCTTTGGTTTTCTCTTGTATGGCGGGGAACAGTGGGGTGTTCAAGGAAAAGACGATGAACAGTAAAAAATTAAACGAAACTTAAGGGGCATTTGTTTCTTTTTCCCATCACACCTAACAGTGAGTTAACGTCAGTTACTAGATTGTCGCAAAATGAAAGTTCGAATACTATATTGTCGCATTTTAAAGTTCGGATGCTAAATTGACACTCGGCCAAAAGAACAAGGTACCTATCAGGAATTTCCCCTTTTCTAATCCTAATTCCATCACTGTCTCCCCGCATTCATTTGGGTGGGGGGCTCACAAGCTTGATCGGAGCAAATGTGAACTCCAACTCCCATAAGCGAGAAAACTAGATAAAAGATGGTGATGGGTGGGGAAAGTGCACCATACAATACAAGAGGTAGATAGATGCAAGGTTTTTAAAACCGACTCAGAGACCGAATCGGTTAGGGGTCTGGTTCCCAAGTCGAACGGTCTGACCATTCGAACCAAACAATCGACCCGTTATGACAAAAAAAAATTAAAAATTAAAAAAAAAAATAAAAATTAAAAAAAAATAAAAAACAGTCAAAATCATTGAATGGTTCGAATGGTTAAACCACACGGATCAGTGGTTTACTGACCAAATCAACGGGTTTTTGAAAAAATCCGATTTTGAGAAAAAACGGAACCAGTCACCTCCCGATTTTTTCCGATCCGGTTTTGAAAACCATGGATAAATGTTCACATCGGCTGAGAAATTAGAAGTCAACCTCAATGCCACACATGTAATGACGTAAAAAGTAATACTGTTCTTACAAGAAATCATTGTCTTTCCAAACTTATGCATTTTAGTCTATTTTGTTTATACTATCAAAAAAGAAAAAAATAATAATAAAAGTTTGCTTTTCGATGCTTATCTAGAGCTGATGGATGGTGCTCTGTAGATTGTATTGCGGGCATCGTTTGGATTTGGTTCTGGACCTCAAAGCTTACTGCATTGGTATCACATCAATCAATTTTGTTGAAGCTTAGACTGTTTGAGAAGCAATTAATATTCTACAAATTTCAACGATTCCTCATTACGGAAGGTGACTCAAAGTTTATAATTGACTGCCTCAAAAGATCAGTGAAGTCCTCATAGAGATTGGAGATTATCATTGAAGAATGTCTCAGTCTCCTCCCCCTATTAAACTTTAGCATCACCTTTCGAATTTCGATATGCTTATTGAGAAGCAAATTAAGCTACGAATTGCTTGTGCATAATGCTCTGTCTGGTTGCTCCCTCAAAATTGATTGGATCCTGTTAATTTGCTTTTTTGATTCTTGGGGTCAACCTTTTTAATGACTTATTAAAAGGCGAAATAAAGCATCATTCAGTTAAGCCTCTTCAACTGTCGTCAAACGGCACCTAAAGCGGTTTATATGAAGGATGAATAGATTCAACGAAAGGATGTTGGGCTCATATTCTGTCTTTAAGTTTTGTCTGGTTTTAAAATTTTGTCCTTTACGATAGACTTTGTTGATTTGTTCACATGGAGGTCCCATTTTTCTCTGTGAACTTTCAACAAACACTACACAGAACGGAATCACGGAACAGGACTTAGTTGATAACGATGATGAATTGGAATTTTCAACAACATATTAGAGGAAAAGTCGTTGATAAGTTTGCTTCTTTGGCTGCTTGATCTACAAATTTTGTTCATTATGTTAGACCTTGTCTCAAACCACATGTAGGGGTGTCATTTGGATCCGATTTGGTCCGATCCAAGACCATTACATATGGATCAGGTCCAACCTAATCCAATGAATACTTTGGACCAAATTAGACTGGTCAAAAACCATCCAATCTGTTTAAATTGGTTTTAATTTAGATTAATTCTAATTCAAACCTAGTCCGTTGACACATGTATTCTTATCTTTTATCACCGGACTGGATATTTGTTTAATCTGGCTCAACCTAATATGAATCCATAATGAATGGATCAGGTCCAATCCAATCCAATAAATACTTTGAACCATTAAATCTGAATTGGTCTAATTCAATATGTATTATTGGTCCATCCAATCCATCTAAATTGATTTAGATTTGGACAGGGTCCAACCCAAAACCAGTCCATTAACACCCCTAACCACATGGATGCCCTATTTTGCCAGAAAGCTTGGATCTTAAAAGATCATGCTGTTTGTACTTGCAAAAGCATAATTAAGGGATGGTTGT